AATTATTTAATAATAGAATGTGTATCTGCAATACGAGGGGTAAACCATAATGGTATAAAATGGTTATCACTCAAGTATTAAGGAAATTCAAAGGAGAAAGTTGTATGAAATCAAGTGTTTGGCTCAACTGCACACTATTCTGAATATAATTCCATCAGGTAATTTGTTTATTATATTTCCATTGTAGACTTGGAGGTCAAAAACCAGATTTTAGTGATGTCCAGAGAACCAGAATGCTTATTAACTGCACTCCTATATCCTCCTATCTAGATGTGTTAGGACATTTTTCCCCTCTTGTAACTACTTATTTGGATTCTTGTTTGGGATTGTGTCCTTAGAATTTTTAATAATGTTATTTTGCCCATTTCTGTCATTAAAGCTTCTTTGAGTCATTAATTTCAAGATAGTTTCATATGCTTATTAATTACTTTATATTCTTTGATTTAATTTAAATCATAAACTAGTGCAATGGGGAGTCATTTGCTCGTAAAATGAGTAGAGCAAATGTGCCTTCTGGATCATTTTCATTACCCATGAGCCTCCCTGCAGTATTCAGTGGTTTATTAACCATTGTTGTTGGGGCAGCTTTAGAACTGGTAATGTAACCTCTTTTCCCTAGAATCTGAATATTTGATCAGTTATTTTCTTCTCAGGATCTAAAATTAGGGAACTGATTCTCTCCTCCAGGGCTGTTCTTGGATATTATGGTATTTGACTTGATAAGTGAACCATTGTCCTTTTGGTAAACTTAATGATTATGCTTTGCTGTTCATACATGGTCTCATCAGCCATGTTAAATTCTTCCACCTAGTACCGGTATCACTGTAGATTTATGGAGAGCCTAAGAAAGCTTAAACTTCTAGCCCATGACTTTCATATGCCCTGTGAATGCTGGGGCCAGAATATTCTACGTGGGGAGGGGAAACCAGGTCACCAACAGGAAGCATTTCTAGGTGAGCATTTCTGGGAAACTGACTAAAGAAATCTCAGAAGAAAGGGACCTAAATTTCCAAGGCTCTAGTAACTTGTGAATTTCTTTAAAATCCCAAATAAGTACTCTCTTTTGTACCTAGATTTGAATGTGTGATTTTGTATCTCTTTCCTTAAAGGAGCTTGAAAAACAGTCAAAGCTTCCAGACCCACACAGCCTGGATCTGCCTGACGAGTATTGGTTTTTTTATTTTTGTTTTTATTTATTATTTTTTTAAATGTTTTATTTAAATTCAGTTTAGTTAACATACAGTGTTTTGTTTGTTTCAGAGGTAGAATTTAGTGATTCATGAGTTGCATACAACTCCCAGTGCTCATTACTTCATGTGCCCTCCTTAATGCCCATCACCCAGTTACCTCATGCTCCCACCTACCTCTCCTCCAGCAACCCTCAGTTTGTTCCCTATAGTTAAGAGTCTCTTATGGTTTGCTTCCCTTTCTGTTTTCATTTTATTTTATTTTTCCTTCCCTTCCCCTATGTTCATCTGTTTTGTTTCTTAAATTCCACATGAGTGAAATCACATGGTATTTGTTTTTCTCTGATTGACTTATTTCGCTTAGTATAATACCCTCTTGTTCCACCCACATCGTTACAAATAGTAAGATTTCATTCTTTTTGATGGCTGAGTAATATTCCAGTGTGTGTGTGTGTGTGTGTGTGTGTGTGTGTGTGTGTGTGTGTGTG